GCCATGTCGTTTTTGTAGCTGTAACAGTAGAGGCGACTGCAGCAGCTGCTGTAGTAGTAGTAGTAGTAGTAACGGCTGTAGTAATAGTAGTAGCAGTAGTAGTAGCGGCTGTAGTAGTAGCAGTAGCAGTTGATGTCAACAACACAAGTTTACGTCATGTCAAAAAATTATCGAATGTATAGTTTGTCTCTTTGTTGTTGTTGTGTCTGATTTTGTTGTTGTTGTTTTTCTTGATGTAGTCGAAGGCCCTGTTGCTATCATTGTTATTGTTGTTGATATTATTATTGTTGTTATTATTTTGGTTGTTGTAATTGTGGTGGTGGTGGTGGTGGTGGTGGTGGTGGTGGTGGTGGTGGTGGTGACGTTGGTGGTGGTATTGTACGGAACAAACTCTTAAAGAAATTTGATGTCCCCTTGAGAGAGTTAAAGCATCTAACCAGCCGACAACAACACAATGATCATAAAATATTTCGACATCAAGAGTGAAATACGTGTAGAGTCCATGACATTAAAATTGACATCAACATAACGAATAACACCAACAACAACAACACAACAACACGACCATTGAAGACGACAACATCCGGAGTAACATTATAATGCACACGTCTTTGCAGACAGCGTTTACGATTTTTATCAATATAATTATAAGACCAACAAAAACAACAACTGTAACAACAACAACAACAACAACTGCAACAACAGCAACTGTAGCAACAACAACTGCAACAACAGCAACTGCAACAACAGCAACTGCAACAACAGCAGCTGCAACAACAATAACAAGAGCAACAGCAACTGCAACAACAACAACATGAGCAACAGCAACTGTAACAACAACTGCTGCAACAACAACAAATATCGACAAAGTTCGCAATGCACATTAACTTTGAATGAATAGGTCAGTGTATGTATGTGAGTCTGCCCCGGTGATTGTGTGAATGAATGAATGAACGAATGAATGAATACATGCATGAATGAATGCATGCATGTATGAATGAATAAAAAATATTAATAGAGTGAACTAATGAACGGGAGAACGATTTGATGAACAAGCTAACAAATCAATTTTTAATTGAAAAAGCTTGTGTATGTAAAAACAAAAAAAAAGCAATCATACATACATACATGAGTATAAACATACAAACATACAAATGTACATACATACATACATACATACATACATACATACATACATACATACATACATACATACATACAAACATACCTACAAACAAACATACATACAAACATATAAGTATAACATACCTACGTACAAAGACTCACATCGCATCAATCAATCAATTATTTTTTGTTTAGCGCCATTTCCGTGATTCCTAAAGAACACACGCACGCATACATAAATATATACACAAACACACCTATGCGCATGTGTACAAACATACGTATACACACACAAACATGCAGAAATACAAACGAACATACAAAACGTTTCCAAACATACAAAACATTACGCGGTACATTGCATTGCTCTAAGTTCGTTTCACTAACTTTTGCTTTCACTTGACACTATTTTTATTGACACTAGAAAAAAATAACAATAAGAACAACAATAAGAACAACAACAACAATAAGAAGAAGAAGAAAAAAAGAAGATTAACAATATCTCCGGTTATAATAATTATTGCTATTGTTGCTATCTTTGCTATTACTAATATTATGATTGTTGTTGTTGTTGTTGTTGAAGTTGTTGTTGTTGCTGTTGCTGCTGTTAGCGTAGAGATATTGTGTGTTGCTAGACCGGATATTAAGCTATCTCCAACGCATTCAAAACTTATTGCTCGCCATTGCCGTATTGTATTCCGGTGACGACGATGATAAAGATGATGATGATGAAGACAATGATGATGACGACGATGAGGATGACGACGATGATGACAACGACAATGATGATGAAGATGATGGTGATGAAGACAAGGATAATGATGATGTTGATGATGACGACGAAGACGACGACGATGATGATGATAATGATGATGATGGTGATGATGATGATGACGACTATGATGATGAAGATGGTAGTGTTGTTGACGATGTTGACGATGTTGCTGATGATGATGATGAGCAAAGAAATAAATAACTTCACACTAAAAGATGATGAGAATATAGTCACCATAGATAATTAATTCACATACACGTACGCACAAAGAACAGAAAATCATAACGTTGTCAACAAAATGCAAGAATTCAATTAAATGAGAAGAAATTCTTTTTTATCGTTATTACTGTAGTTTACAATTATTATTATTATTATTGTTGTTGTTGTTGTTGTTATTATTATAACTTTGGTTATTGTTATTGTTGCTTTTGTTGATATTTCAAATATTGATAAGGTTGTTCATTTCATTGCGCAGAACAATAAAAAAAATAAAATAATACACACAGAGATGCAATACCAAGCAATACAAATTGATACAAAATATATCAATACCCATACAAAAAAAACAATACTAATACAACAAAGACATACAAAAATTCATACAGAAAAATTTCAAACCTACGAAAAAGTCAAAACTACCAACCATCATTGTTTTGAGGAAAGACAGCCTCAGCGTCAAACGCATGACAACAACAATGATGATGATGACGTGTTAATGACGTCATTATGACGACGACGATGACGACGACGATGACGACGACGTTGTTGTTGCTGTTGTTGTTGCTGCGGTTGTTGTTGATGATGCAACTTGATAAATTAATTTTAAATCTTTTCGACATTTTTTTGGAAGTGTATTTTCAGTTGGGACGTTTTAAATTTTTTTTTGATTTATTGTCCGTTATATTTATATATGTATGTATTTTTAAATTGAACAAATTTTAAATAAAATGCCAGAAAACAATTGGCAACATTATTACTATTTTATGATTCATTCACGATCTGTATATCCAAACATTACTTATTTGGCCGCTTTCAAATATATTCTATATCCGTAGGGATTACTACTTGCTGCAAAAAAAATATCAATTATACAAGAAATACCATATAAAAAATACAATACAAACCTACAAACATACATACATACTTACAAACAAATATACAAATAAACATACAAAAAAACGTTGAAAAATCACCACAACCAAATAATTATTCTGCGGTGCGATAACTTGCAAGGCAAACTTATAAAAACGGACGGATGTGATGCGTGTATGTATGTATGTATGTATGTATGTATGTATGTATGTATGTATGTATGTATGTATGTATGTATGTATGTATGTATGTATGTATGTATGTATGTATGTATGTATGTATGTATGTATGTATGTATGTATGATGTATGTATGTATGATATATATGTATGATGTATGTATGCATGTTAATGGATTCTTACACATTTTGTCATCCTGCTTTTGTATTAATCTCTTAATTTAAGGAGCAAATAAAATTTCATTTGATTCTGTGTGTGTGTGTTTGCATGTGTACTTATGTGTGTATGCGTGTGTGTGAACGTATATAAAAATCTGTCTACAAATATGTGTGTATGTATGTATGCATGTGTGTATATGTGTTTTTAAATAGAGTTTATCAACTTGTGTATAATCGATTGTTCGTACATACGTGCTTACTTGTGTTACATGTGTATTTACGTCTGTGTGTGTGAGTGTGTGTGTGTGTGATTGTGTGTGTGCGTGCTTGTGTGTAAATGTGTGCGTGTGCGTGCGTGCGTGCGTGTTTAAATGTGGATGGCTATCTATCACATATGCCAAGCTGCCAGGCACACAAACTGCAGTCTCGATCATTGCACGACGTTCTCCCAGCTTTAATACTGTTATCATGTTTTCTATACATGTTTTTGCTGTTATTTGTATGTTTGTATGTTTGTTTGTTTGTATGTCTGTTTGTTTGTTTGTTTGTTTGTTTGTTTGTTTGTTTGTTTGTTTGTTTGTCTGTCTAGCGGCTTGTTGTTTGTTGTTGATGTTTATAATAAGTTTAGCATAGTGACTGTTTGTAGATGTTACATCTCGGAGATATTTTGTAACCATTCCCAGTCAGGCGTTTTATTTCAGCTCAAAACTCAGATAAAACTATTCCGATTAGAAAAATGCGTAAATAAGGTTACATACGTACCGACCGATTACACACACACACACACACACACACACACACACAGTTTGCAAGACACAAATACTTTTAGAAATACACACGTTTACATTTACACATACTAATAGACGGACTTACATACACATACTCGCTTGATGCCCACCTTCCAAAAATATCCCAAAACAATTCCACTAGTAACACAGGACACGGACCAAATCAAATTTTTTGTTCAGCTATTTGAAAGGCATGAGATGGATGAAAGAAATGGCCCAACATTCATTCGTTCGTTCGTTCATTCGTTCGTTCATTCATTCATTCATTCATTCATGCATTCATTCATTCATTTATTAGTCCGTCATTTAGTTTGTACCTTTAATTTATTGATCGGGCAAAAAATGAGATTTCGATTTTGCATGGAACAACATTTTTGAATAAGAAAAGAATGAATGTTATTTCCGTGTAACTATATAAAAGTTAGATCTATTGATATATACATACATACATAAGTACATACATACATACATACATATATACATACATACATACATACATACATACATACATACATACATACATACATACATACATACATACATACATACATACATACATACATACATACATGCGCATTCATTCATTCTGCGCATGATGGTAGGCGCCCGGACGGATGCACGCTAATACCTTGGAGAGCCGGCAGATTTTTGGCGTGGGATGTTACGGTCCCTGGCACCCTCGCCGAACGATACGTAAACCTGACAAGTAAAGAATGCGGTTTGGCCGTGGCCAGGGCAGCGGACGAGAAAATGAAAAAATATGGGAACGCCCTCCCCTCGATGGAATTCTTGCCAATATGCATCGAGGTTCTTGGCCCGATGGACCCCAACACCCTTAAATTTCTTAAAGAAATATGCAAAATGATCAGCGTCAGATCAGGCGACAGCAGGGAACTGTTTTTCGCAACTAACCACATTTCGTGCTTGTTGCAGCGGTTCCTGCGTGTCTGTGTGCTTGAAAATATCCAACTGAATGCCGACATGTGCAATTAACGACAAATCAAAGTGTTGATCCATTTGTTACTTGATGTTTGACGGTTCAGTGTCACTCATCATGTTTTGGTTTTAACTTACATACATATATACATACATACATTTCCGACCATTTTCCTATTTTCGCTTTATGTCCAAATTATTGTTTCCCCATTCCAACAGCTCCAATTAAACTTCGTAGAAATCTCTGTCCTGATTCTCTTAGGAAAATCAACCTCCAACTTTCTGTCCAAGACTGGTCATCTGTCACTACTCAAGATAATATTAATACATGCTGCTCTACGTTTTATGCCATTCTTTTCTATATTCTGGACTCCGTTTCCCCTCTGCTTCCAGTCAATTATATTTATAAAAAAACGTGGGTCAACAAACACATCATCCATTTATCCAAAATTAAACATAAACTCTACATCAAAAGCCTTAAAATTCCGTCGCAGTGCAACATTTCTGCTTATAAAAGGTATCGTAAT